TGTTTTGGGTAGTTTAGTCATAAACCGCTCTAAGCCGATCGAATAAAACATAGCATTAGCTGACGAGAACACCTTTGCTTCCTCCCTTTCTTCCCAATTTCACCTTATCCACCGTTTTAATCGTTAACAGTGACGACAACGCTCGAGTCACCGCCCTTTCTGTGTATCGATTTCTCCGCCAACTCGACTCGGTATTTTCGACTCTCAGAGTGAAGATAATGCTCGATTTCATAATTTACACAATCTTTGTCTTCAAAAGCACTTGGTAGTAATAGCAATCTCTAAGCCGTTTAAAAAGGTTGATGTTAGTTACGGCCACCAAGTGTACAGGTAAGTTCAGCGTTAGATAGTGAGGGTGGGAATAATTACAGTTATTCAGTCGTGGTAGTGGTGAACAATTCAACAATACTTAGCGGGAGTGTGGAGGGACTAAGAGCATGAACCGAGGCCAGACCCGCGATTGGAACGAGACCTACCAAAAGAGCCTTCTTATGCGATGCAGGCCGGAGATGCGTCCGTTGCGAGGCTGCAGACGGTGGCGGTGGCGGTTGCGGCGGATCTCGTTCCAAGTATGCTATCTGCAAAACGGTAAATGTCAGTCAAAGCCAGAACCACATTTATAACAAAATGATGTAGACAACACTACTATTCTTGAGCTGTGACAGCTAAAGCGTTATAACTGCACCAATTCGACGCCAGTAAAGCAAATGTTTGTTATATAGGCAACGCCCGACGATGATCAATCACCAGATAGTATTATCTTCCTTCACAAGTTATATTCAGTCTAATTCTCCTCGCCATTGTTCCTAACCCTCACCCTCCACCTTCGGTTCCATCGAGGTGACGTTGGCAACAAATAGTGACGGAAAGCAAGTATGGTCATTTGACAAGTCAACAACATCTTTGCAAATCCAGAAACCTCAAAGAGAGGACCGCAGATAAGTTCGAAAAAAAAAAAACAATGATTTTGGTCATTCGTTCACACATATCAACGTGATCCGCAACTCGTACAATCTTAACCAGCTTTAGAAGTTAACTTATTTTTATCGTTTTCTCAGTTGTGATGCGACAGTGTGCTGGCTGTGATAACATGGTTTAAAAAAAAGTAATACCTATCTCCTAGTATTATTGTAAAACACATCTTCGGTTAGATTTACACCCACTAGAAATTAACTAATGCACCCTAGGATAAAAAAATGGATGAATATTCACAAATATGTCGGAAATTTCACCTTCGCCTCCTATATTCTACGCGAGCCAAGAACGAAGGGTCAACGGCAAGACGATACAGACAAATTGTTCTAAGCTCAAAAGCAAAAACTGCCTCATGCGTGTTAGGTACGCGACGGGAGAAACGAATGAGTTCAAAAATTTCTTCCCTGTATCGCTTTATTAGAGGAAGTTCTCAAGCGGGAATGGACGAAAGCAATAAAGAGCATGACAGGGGAGCAATTGTTAGGCCTAGCATGCTGTTAACGTACCACAATTAGATCAGAGTCCTCTAGCACGAAACAGTCCTGCTGACGCACTTGACTGCCGTTAAGGCGAGTTCCAAAACTGAAAAAGAACAGAAATATGGCCTAAGAGAGGGTAAGCTTATCTGACAAGTTAAATAGTGATTGTCTGACACCATCTTTGGCTCCCCTCCTTCGTCCAGATGAATTCGCAACCGACTGAACCATTTCTGCACGAAATCCAATGGTCTGTTAACTCAGAAGCAGGAAAATAACAAACCATAGACGCCAAATCAGTTAAAGTATCCTCAACATTTGCATCACAAAAATGCATTTTTTTAGTCACATTTAAAAACGTTTCATTAGGTGATGTTCCGTAGACTTGCATCAAAGGAAATAGATTGCTACAGGCGGGCAGAGGTCTGACTGCCCTTGTAGCAATGAAAAACTACCACCAAAACTAGAAGTCAATGATGTGAGCAATTAAAAAGATGCTGCTACTTCAAAAAGATAGCTTTGCTAGTTTCATAGATTCAATTCAAACAGCGTTCAACTCAAAATTAAACAGAACTTAGACCAGAATTGTATATGTGTAATGCATTGATTCTCTAATCCACTGTTTTGGCGAAGAGGACATTCGACTACTTTGCCATTGTATCTTCCGGCCCTTGAACCGTGTCACAAGACTCAATACCTGTGAATAGCAGTGAAAAGTGGACTCGATTCTAGAGGACATCTGCCCTGATTTCTGCCGCTAGGTAATGAAACTTGACGAGGTAAAAGATATGCATATAAAACCAGTGCAGAACCAAAAATAAGTCGCCAACATCCGTCAACTATCCACTCTGGTGTCTAACATCAAAGCTCTTACCAACCATCCAGAAAAGTTGTTTTAAAGAGCTGCTTGTTACGCCTTATTTGAAAATAGCCCCAAGACATGCAGTTGGGTAGTCCCGAAATGAAAGCAACGTGGTATAGAGGAATCAACGCAATACTCTGCTTGCACAGGAAAAATGATAAATCCTGCTTTTGGACACCCGTGATGGTCGACGCACTTCTCCACTCTATTATACAATTTTCATACATTATGAAAACCAGACATTGTTGAATAAGGCCTAGTGACTGGCACCCATTATCATGTCAAGACTGACACAGGAGACTAATCAAGGAGAGTTTTGAATACGGTTCTCGAGAAGGCAGAAGCTTTGTGGTGCTCTCGCCGTTTAATCCAGAAGCTTTGCCATTGTACCTTGGCCAGTGGTCCCAGGCCCTCCCTGCACGCCTACAATACTACTTCTGTTCGAGTATTGCTTTGTTTCGTCCTTTGAAGTCTCAGGACGATGGACATAAATGGTTCATGAAACCTAGGAAACGATACGATAGTCTTGTTTCATCAAGTTCGTGATTTCAAAACTTGGGTGTTTTAGACCATTAAACACTGTGGAAAAATTGGCCAAATTAATATGCGCAGAAAGTTGAGTCTAATTTAAAAAAACTACAACTGAAGCTGGAAAATGGTAATGACTAAGTAACTAATTATGGCTAGTTGGCAGTTATGAAGGCAAGTTCACTAATTACGCTAATTTGATGCCCACTATAAATAAAAGCAAAGATTAGGTTCAGTAAGCGTCGCTAAGAGTTTTGGCATTATAATAAAATAAACCATCTACAAAGCAGATCACAAATAAGTTGTAAAACACTTCCTAAGCATCATTCGCAGGCTTACTACCTTTGGCTCAGGCATATAGAGTCGTGTTGAAATGACGAAAAAAACGCGATATTTTCACGTCAGGAGGAACCACACTATGGACCGTCGACAAAGGGTACAGTACGAGCAAAAGCCTTCAAAAAACAAAAGATTGTGTGAGAGTCGAAAATACCGAGTCGAGTTGGCGGAGAAATCGATACACAGAAAGGGCGGTGACTCGAGCGTTGTCGTCACTGTTAACGATTAAAACGGTGGATAAGGTGAAATTGGGAAGAAAGGGAGGAAGCAAAGGTGTTCTCGTCAGCCAATGCTATGTTTTATTCGATCGGCTTAGAGCGGTTTATAACTAAACTACCCAAAACGCAACCTCTTATGGTAAGGGTAGAAGACGCGTCACCATATTAACACCTTTTACCTGGATGAGG